ATTTTGTCTCTCATAGTTGAGGTATACCTATGATGAAAATTACAGGACTCTCTCATCTTTTTAAGTGGGAGAACTTGCACAATTGGTGGCTGACTAAATACTTTTTTCCCCCACTGTATATATATATATTTATATATTGTTTTTAAAATAAAATAAATTATATTTATATAGTTTTGTTTTTAAACTGTGTGTGTGTGTGTGTGTATATATGTATATATATATATATATATATGTGTGTGTGTGTGTGTGTGTGTATGTATGTATATGCACACACAATACATCATATTTATGTAGTGGAGTTGTAAAATTGTATATAGTATTAGTTATATAGTGACTGTATATAAAATGTAATTAATTAGCATATATGCAAAAATTGGTATAAATATTACCGTTTTAATAGTTTTATTTTTTAAAAATGTAAAAAATTATATAATTTATTTATTTATTATCTTACTAACTCTTATGGCATTTAGCTGAAGTTTACATCTGAAACGCTATTAAAAATGTGTCTCTTTTTCTCATACGCATACAAATGATCACTATGTTCACAATGTGCTTATTTTTTTATTTCCTAAGAAATATTGTCCTAAATATCTCCTAAACATTCATTATATTCCCCAGGTTGTTTTATTATATTTCAGTGTTTCTCCAGGAATGGTGTTTGAGAGATCTGTTTTCCCCACAGGAAGTCCAGTGCAGAATAACCAGACGGGTCTGGTGGAGTTCCGGATGGACGGGCCGCTGCAGTACATGGTGTGGTACCACGCCGTCGGCCTCATCTGGATCAGTGAGTTCATCCTCGCCTGTCAGCAGATGACTGTAGCCGGAGCGGTCGTCACTTACTACTTCACCAGGTCAGAGGTCAAAGGTCATTCACTTTCCTCCATCTGTCCATAAAGGACAACAGTCGTGAGTTCTACACTGTTTCTCTGTCTGATTGTAGAGATAAGTCTCAGATGCCCTTCACGCCCATCGTGTCGTCTGTGCTGCGTCTGATGCGCTATCATCTGGGCACCGTGGTTAAAGGAGCCTTCATCATCACTCTAGTGGAGATTCCCCGCCTCATCCTCACCTACATCCACAGTCAGCTCAAAGGAAGAGTCAGTCACCGTCAGCTCATCTTCACGTCGCAACAGATTTGATTTCAAATACAAACCTTTTCTAACATTATGAATGTCTTTACTTGCACTTTTGATCAATTGAATGCATCCTTGATGAATTAAAGAGCTGAAACTCTTAAACTTGAGCCCTGTTTTGTTGCCGTAGGAAAACGCCTGTGCGCGCTGCATGCTGAAGGCGTGTATCTGCTGTCTGTGGTGTCTAGAAAAGTGCCTCACTTACCTGAACACGGTGAGTCTTATGGCACATATATATGAATTCATTTGTTTTCATTTGATGCATTAATCATGTGGCTTTTCTTCAGAACGCTTATACGGCAACGGCCATCAACAGCACCAACTTCTGCACGTCTGCGCGAGACGCTTTCTTCATCCTCGTGGAAAACGCTCTCCGTGTGGCAGCTATCAACAGTGTCGGGGACTTTGTGCTGTTTTTAGGAAAGGTATTTACAACTTCCCTTTATACTGCGGAGAAATCAGGGTTACTTTAGTAAATATTTATATACTATTTATAGTATTAACATTTTTATGTAGCTTTTATTTTTTTATTTTCATTGTAAATTCAGTTTGTTTTAGGAAAGTTTTGTTCCTTTTTCATATATATATATATATATATATATATATATATATATATATATATAT